AGAGAAATGTGCTGAAATCCTTGATTGTTCTTGCACACTGGGTTTAGGCACTCAGCAAGATAGAGGAGAGCCCTCATTGGGAGATAGCCCAGAGCATCCCCTTTACATCTAAGAGTAGGGGAGTAAAGCTGTACAACTTTTTCTCCTGCAGGCTGCTGACCCCTCTGTGGTCCCCCTACAGTGGTAATGACAGCTGGGATATGCTAGGTGTTTAGGGCCAGGTTAGCAGAAAAAGGTTTTGCTCTACTTGCTGCCTTCCACTTGCATAGATGATTTCCCCAGGGCTGCCATCTACCCTCCAAGAAAGTAAAGATGCTAGTGATACAGAGAGAGGAGAGGGAAGTACAGGGCCATTTGTTCTAGATGGTAGAAATTGTGAACAAGAAACTTCTACACACCCTCTAGTGCAGGGGCTCAGCAAAGCCCCCTTGGCATATAGGTGAAGTATGTGTATATAACTGAGGTCACGGCCCTGGCAGGAGATTTAGGAGTTAGGGGGCTGAGTTGCCAAAATGGATACCTGCTTTCTGCTTTCTCCAGAGTCTCCTAACTCTTTCCTATTATGACCACCTTGGCAAGCAGCAGTAATATGTAGTAGTTTAAGATCACCTTTAAGTTCCTGATATACGAAGGATAAATCTCAGTATATAAATGATATCAAGACACAATATTGGAATTAATATGATAAGTAAGGCTGGGCTGTGGAGACCTGGCCACCCTTAGCCCTATTTTATGTGCTGACCCACTTACCTCATCTGAGCCTGGTGCCCCAGATTGAAAGCCCAAGCGCTTTTGGCCCTGCCATTTGACTTGGACCTATTGCCTTGACCGAAATTCATATTGGTTTTAATTTGAGAGCTGATATTTCCACCCAAGTCACAGAGCCCCCCCCCACAGGTGTTGCACTAGTCTCATTTTATATCCTTTCACTCTCCTGCCTGAGAAAGGACTGGATTTCACACCTAATTAAGAGAGATTATAATGTCTGCTCTTTCTTATTCATTTTCTTTTATGCACAGGCAGCTTTTTATTCTCATGCTAAGTCCTATACCTGGACTCCCAGAGCTTAAGAGACCTACAAAACAGAGAGGCAGAACTTCTGCCACCATTTCACCAGTCAGCTTCTCTCTTCTGGACTCATCCCTGATTCAGCCCCTCTATTTACAGCCTACCACAGAACACAGTCACACAGAATATATAGCCACATGCAACAGTACTGTTCCTTGCATATTTCAAGTTGAATTCCAGCACAGGCTGACTTTGTGTTTTCACTTTTGTGGAAAGGGTATAGGTTATTATGTTAAAACACATAGAGAATTATTTTTATCACTTTTTTAAAAATTTTGCCATCAGTTCTGTGTTCACACAACTGTGCATTTTTTTTAGTGTGGGAGGCATCCTCAAATACACAAAATTTGTGTAGAGTTGTGTGGTTCTGTAGAATTGAGAGGGTTGGGGTTTTGAGGGGAGAGAGGCTAGTTGATGTGTGTGGGGTTTTTTTTTTGAATAGCCCAAATGCCTATTCAGTGCCAATCTAAGAAAGAATGGATTTAGCATTTTCACACCATTCCTTCCTATACAGTCCTTGAATAACCATCTAATCAAGATTTGTTTTCAATAGGGAACAAATCTTCTACAGTAGAGTATTTCAGATTTATTCCATTGGAATCTATACATTAATGCCCATTGGATGAAAAGGACATGTTCACAAAAGCCTGGACTTTGCCTTGCTGTGGCAGAAACTTTTTCCCACTGTATTAGTGTTAAAAATAAAAGAAAGCCTGGGAAAGGAATTGCCTCAGCATTGTGTGCTGCAAGAACGAGGCATGCTTGAATGGAGAGGCAGAGTCCCCCATCACATCTGTACCCATATAAGCAGAAAAACGGTTCAGCTTTTCATGGCTGTTCACCTCAGTGTGGGGCCAGTATACTTACGGAGATATTTAGGAATTATGTCTGTAAAAATCCAACTATGTTTATCAGGTGAGGTTGTATATGTGGGTAGGTTTATGTTTGTCTTTGTGGTTATTAATGAAGTTGCTAACCTAACTCAGACTATTTTACAAATAATCTAATTGTTTAGATGGAATGATTGTGAAATTCAATTTGGTCAAACAAGCAGTTCAAGTTTTTTTCATGCAATTGTGTATGATTTGTATTTGTGTTCATGTGTGTATTTGAGTGTGTGTGTGGTATGACACCTTTTGATGTTGGCCATTTTTCATCTCCAAAGCAATCTCTATCATAACTTTCAATGCCTTTTTTTCTGCTGAGACTAAGGATCTTTGAGCATTCCAAGTTTCATTCCTTAGGGATCCACTGTGTGCAGAGAAAAGAGCATCAGGAAGCATGGGCTCTCATCCCAACCTTGCCATTTGCTAGATGTATAAAACTTCAGGCAACTGACTGAAATGCTTTGAGAGGCCCAACTTCCTCTTATGTCAAATAGGAATCATAATATCTGTCCTGAAAACATATAGAATTATAGTTAAAAGTAAATGAAATGTTACATGTGAGAGAATTTTGAACACTGTGAAATACTACATAGATATTATTATGATAACGGTGATAGAGATGCTTCCTAGAATTATCTGAGAGAAGACAATTCTGTCATATATGACATCTCTAGAGTTATCATCGTGACTGGTGTTATGATCAAATGTGTGTTTCATCTGAGTAGAAAAAATTTATTAAAATTAATAAGCCCATCCTATTCAGAGATGATGATTGTACTGCCTGCCATCTGTTTACAACCAGTTTCACTACCTGTTGTTTTACTTAAAGGAAAGAGAGACCTTAGTGACAGCACAAGTGTATTTAGAAAACTACATTTTTGTACCTGGATGAGTTGTTTTATTTCTTGCGTTGTTCCCGCTTTAAAAATTAGATGTTAAAGCCTCAACCCCTAGAAACATGAAAACCATGCTAAGTCCTGGGTGGGTGTAGAAGTAAGTGGAGAGAGTACTAGGAAAACCTTTAACACAGCTTTACAGCCAACCAATGGCCACCTTCAGGGCTAGAGTATGGAATACAGTGTAGCAGTTGAAAGAGTGAACCCTAGTACTTGTCTGCCTAGGTTCAAATGCCAGCTTTTCCACCAATTACTTATGTACCCTTGAGCATGTTCTTAATTTCCCTAGCCTCAGTTTCCTCATCTATAAAATGGGGTAACAATAGTAACAATGTGATTGCTATGAAGATTAAATGAAATACAGAAAATGGTATGACAGTGCTTGATACCAGGTAACCTTTAAAAAACCAGTTTGCTCTTGTTTTTATTGTCATGGTGTACATGCATGTGGAACTCAGCAAGAACTTAGAATTTTATCTGTTGACTGAATTCCAAACAGCCCTTCTTGGGTTATTGGTGCCTTCCTCTGGGGCCGTATTTTGTATTAGCACAATTAGAGGGAAAATCACTGTGATTCTTGATCTGGCAAAGAAAATTTGTTTTGCGAAAGTGAAAAAGATGGAAGCTGTAGCCTAGAACAGCATTTCAGCTATGTAATAGACCCCATGGAGGTGGGAAGAAGGGATTCTCCTACATAAATTAATGTAAATTGCCTCACTGAATATGAACACAAGCTTGCAGGCATTTATTAAGTTAAGTTCACACAACATAAGGATGAATACATGAAGCAAGGTAGAAAAGCTACTGCAGTCTGGACTTGCCTGAGCAGCTAGATCCTTTATACTGAGGCAGAAAAGAAAGAAACAGAGAGAGTAGGCATCCTCCTTTCTGTAGACTGTGACCTAGAGATTGCTTCTCACTAGAAGGATCAGGGTCACAGATCAACCTTCAGTACTTGGACACCCTTGTTTTGAAAGCCCACTTACTTGGCTTCTTCCAGACTGATTGTTCAGTCGTGAAGGCAAGAACAGAAATTTGATTATAGAATGATATGGAGAGAGATTCTTGAGAGCCATCAAATAGATGAAGAGAAATAGGAAAGCCCTAAGATAGTACTGTGCCCTCCTGTTTTCTTTCTCAATCTGGATCCAAGCGCTACTAAAATCATCCCTTAGCTGCACAGCCTAATGTACAGGAGTAGCAATGAGTCAGGGTAGCAGTGGGTCAGGCTACCACATAGCTGACTGTTACCTTCCTCCTAGGAGCTGTTTCACAGTCACCCACAGTAGGTGCATAGAGCACCCTATTACCTAGGGTAAACGTGTGTCCTACTCATGGTTTCCTCCTGCTCTCCTGACCTAATTAGCAGTGCACCCTTCACTCTTACAGTACCCAGTTTGAATGATACATGTGATCATCTCATGTACAGTAGTCTCCCAGCTCTGGCCTTCTAAACATTTCTCCTTCATTAAACCTCAGAACATCACTTGTATCACACATAACTGTCCTAAAGTAGTGCTCAAACAGGTTGTCAGAGATGATACAGAAAGCAGCCAGCGAATGCCCCTTTAGCTAGCAGACTGCATTCTGCAGTCCATCATCTGGAAGATGTGGTGGCAACAGTTTGGTAGACATCTCGGTCTGGATTGAATTTTCCAAGAATTTCTGTGTACATGGTGTGAGTTATGGTAATATGCCATATAAGCTAATAGAAAGGGAATTTATTTCTTAACTATGAATATTGTTGCTGTCTTTGAATAAATAAGAACTTTCATAAATTGGGTTAAATGTAAACTTTCCCAAAGAACTTGGGCCAAGACTTGTTTAAAGTGAAAGTAGCGTTCCCTGAGAACAAGTCCTTCCATTGCCTTTCAGTTCTGCTTTGTTGAAATTGTAGGAATAGCAGGCAAATGACCCATGTGATTATTACTTTCAACTGACAACTTCAGCTGAAGCGCTGGGGCATTAATATGGATTCCATATCCAAAAAAGGTGGAATGAAGCCTGGATGTGAAGCCTTGTGCCTCTCCCCACCTGCGTCTGCAAAGAGGGTGCTTCTAGCATTACTGCTTTGAGAGCTCCGTGTTAGGAATGCAGTCAACTAGATCTGACCCGTGCCCTGTTTTTTGTCTGCCTCGCTGTATTGCAGGTGACATCAGTTGCAAGGGGATGACCGAGCGCATTCACAGCATCAACCTTCACAACTTCAGCAATTCCGTGCTCGAGACCCTCAACGAGCAGCGCAACCGTGGCCACTTCTGTGACGTGACGGTGCGCATCCACGGGAGCATGCTGCGCGCACACCGCTGCGTGCTGGCAGCGGGCAGTCCCTTCTTCCAGGACAAGCTGCTGCTGGGCTACAGCGACATCGAGATCCCGTCAGTGGTGTCAGTGCAGTCGGTGCAAAAGCTCATTGACTTCATGTACAGCGGCGTGCTGCGCGTATCGCAGTCGGAAGCTCTGCAGATCCTCACAGCTGCTAGCATCCTGCAGATCAAAACCGTCATAGATGAGTGCACGCGCATAGTGTCGCAGAACGTGGGCGATGTGTTCCCAGGCATCCAGGACTCTGGTCAGGACACGCCGCGGGGCACTCCTGAGTCAGGCACATCGGGCCAGAGCAGTGACACGGAATCGGGCTACTTGCAGAGCCACCCGCAACACAGTGTGGACAGAATCTACTCAGCGCTCTACGCTTGCTCCATGCAGAATGGCAGCGGTGAGCGCTCCTTCTACAGCGGTGCGGTGGTCAGCCACCATGAGACTGCGCTCAGCCTGCCCCGCGACCACCACATGGAAGACCCCAACTGGATCACCCGCATCCACGAGCGCTCACAGATGGAGCGTTACATGTCCACCACCCCTGAGACCACACACTGCCGCAAGCAGCCCAGGCCCGTGCGCATCCAGACCCTGATGGGAAACATCCACATCAAGCAGGAGATGGAGGACGATTATGACTACTATGGGCAGCAAAGGGTGCAGATCCTGGAGCGCAACGAATCCGAGGAGTGCACAGAAGACACTGACCAGGCCGAAGGCACCGAAAGTGAGCCCAAAGGCGAAAGCTTTGATTCAGGTGTCAGCTCTTCCATAGGCACCGAGCCCGACTCAGTGGAACAGCAGTTTGGGACTGGGGCAACACGAGATGGCCAGTCAGATCCCACACAACCTGAGCAGGCTGCTGAAGCCCCCACTGAGGGCAGTGCACAGCCAAACCAACTAGAAACAGGTGCCTCCTCTCCAGAGAGAAGCAATGAGGTGGAAATGGACAGCACAGTCATCACGGTCAGCAACAGCTCAGATAAGAGCATTCTGCAACAGCCTTCGGTCAACACATCTATTGGGCAGCCATTGCCAAGCACCCAGCTCTATTTACGCCAGACAGAAACCCTCACCAGCAACCTGAGGATGCCTCTGACCTTGACCAGCAACACACAGGTCATTGGCACAGCTGGCAACACTTACCTGCCAGCCCTCTTCACTACCCAGCCTGCAGGCAGTGGCCCCAAGCCTTTCCTCTTCAGTCTGCCACAGCCCCTGGCAGGCCAGCAAACCCAGTTTGTGACGGTATCCCAGCCCGGCCTGTCGACCTTTACTGCACAGCTGCCAGCGCCACAGCCCCTGGCCTCATCTGCAGGCCACAGCACAGCCAGTGGGCAAGGTGAAAAAAAGCCTTACGAGTGCACTCTTTGCAACAAGACGTTCACCGCCAAACAGAACTACGTCAAGCACATGTTTGTACACACAGGTGAGTGTAGGCTCCCAGAGAGGCCTGGCACCAGGGGCTGAAGGGCTCTGGGGGAAGGAAAGGGCAGGACTGCAGGTAGAAGGGAAGGTTTGAAGTTACCTTTCAGATTTAAAAGAAACCTCACCCCAAAGCCTCTTGTTGAAATCCCAGCTGTGCCTGAGTCATAGGAATGGAGTACTATGCCATTGAAAGATGAAACCGCAGAAGCCCTTTATGGAAAGGGATGTCCTAGGGATGTGCAGCCTGCAGAAGAAAAGACTCAGGGACTCAGGGCCTCCTTTAGGCCATAGCCAAGTGCTTGGCTTTCAGAGGCAGCACAATACAGTAATTAAGAGCTCGAGCTCTGGAGCCAGATCACTTGGGTTTGAATTCAGGCTTAGGCACAGTCACTGTAACTGTGAGAAAGTCAATTTTTCTGTCCTTTAGTTTTCTTGTCTAGAAAATGAGAATAACATCGGTATACCTTCCTTATAGTACCACTTTTGAAGATTATATTAATTAGTGTACATGAAGTTCTTATAAGAGTTTCTAGCACATAATAAACATGGTTTATGTGGTAGATATTATTGACACTGTTAAGAAGGCTAGGAGGAAGGTTACTGTTTGACTCAAAAAAAGAGAATTGGAGCAGTGATTGAAAGTTCTATGGAGATTCAACTAAAAAGGAAAAAAAGGTTGTTTACAATTGGAGCTGTTATACATAGATTGCCTCCAAAGGAACTGAGTTCCTGTAACTAGAGGTACTTAAGGACAGAATGGCTGATCATTTCATGGAGATGATGTAGAGGGGATTCAGTCATCAGGATGGCAAGATGAGTGTTTCCCTGGATTTTATAATTCCAGAGCTAAGATCTCCCGACTCTCAGTCATTACTTTTTCCTGGTTCCATAATGAGACAGACGTAGAAGTGGGAACACTATGGATGTCCCTCCCTATAAATGACCATTTATACAAATATGACCAACATTTCACATAGATTCTCTGTACCTAGAGTGCTTAGCACAATGATCATCATATTTGAAATTGCTATGAGAATCACTTTTCTGGTAACCCTGTGGTTCCAGAAAACCCCTATTTAAATGACAAATAATTTGCCAGAGAAAAGTTGAATTCCAATACATGAAAACAAATTAGTTTCTTAAAGCAGTCTATTTTTTAGGTGAAACTGTTGTGAATCTGAGACAGGACATAAAACATATTTGTTTAAATTGAGGAAGAGAAGACAACCAATAGATACAGAGACAAGATACCTAACATTAAACTGAACAACTGAAATAGCATATTGTTTAAAATGAACTTTGCTTTCTTTGTAGTCCAGCTTAAGTTGACCTTATGTAAATGAATTTATATGTCTTTATGCAGATCAACTGCACTTAAAGATTATAATTTTCAAACCTCTAGATAAACATAGTGACTCACTACTGAAGTTAGAAACACAGGTCGTTGCAAGTCACTGTTTACTTTAGGTACACATGAATGCATTAATAACCTGAGATCAATCAAGAGAAATTAATCAACTAGCAACATTTTATTTATGTAGCAACATATGGCAGAATACTCTCAAATAGTTTATGTCATTTCTTCCTCTAAATAGCAGCCTTATAAGACATCAAATTAAGGATTAATGCAAAAAAGAGACCATTTGTGGAAGTGTCTCCTTAGCCAAAGTTGACTTTGGTGGTCTTGCTTTTGTTTTGTTTTGGTAACGGGGATTGAACTCTCGGGACCTTGCACTTGTGAGGCAGGCAGTGGAACCACTGAGCTGAATCCCGGCCCTTGGTGTTCTTGGATCTGTAAACACATCTTCTTCAGTGCATCTCTTCCAGGAAAACTATCATATATAAAATTCACATATTTAATTAGATCACATATTGAAATATCACTTTAAATTTGCAATATTTAATGTTCAGTGTGCCACCAAAAGTTGCCTGTTTGATGCATTTATCCACAGATTAATGACAAGATTCTGTAGGTAACCCAGCAATAGATTTCCACATTTAGACATCACAGATGCAAACAGCTATAGGTAAAGTCACTTTATATTTTTGACTCATGCTCAAAGTATGGTCTTCAGAATGCTAGTAAACTATTAAGGTGTTTGCATTTTTGTGTATAATACAGCCCACATCTAGAAATAATCATGTATGTATATCAGGTGGGCAACACATTTTTGAAAAGCAACACTCTTCCCTTTGTTCTAGAATTATTTTGCAGTGGTAGTTTGGGAAGGCCATCTGTCTTTTAAGGCTTTTCTATAAATGGAGGAGTCTCTAACAGAGCAAAGTTTAAGAAAAATTGGCCAGGTTTTCAAAAGGCAAGGTAGTTTGAACATGTGGAGGTAATTAAGGACCTTAATTCAATGTGCCCCACATTTGTGAACTTCTATCTACTTTCTTAATAAAACATCAAAACAAAGTGGGACTTCCCAACTTTACAGGGGCCCACTGTCATTTTCAGTGACAAAACTCCAGAACCAAAGTTCAAATATTAATATTAAAAAGATTCTGGAAAGTACTGGGATACTTGGAAGGGCAGAGGTGGATTTAATGTTCTTACCCATAGCCTATCTGAAAAGAATCCTACCAAAAAAGAGTGGCTTGACAGCGATGAAAGGAAAGAAATGTAGTTTCTCCCCATTGATGATATTCTGCAAACAAATAGAAATGCATAGTAGTAACTAGATTTGCATTTTATTAAGTCCAAGATTTAAAGTAAATGGTACTTGCTTTCAATAACTGCAGAGAATCAATTCTGAGATCTAGATTCCTGAGTCTTGTGTAGATTTGTGTTAATGATCTACCTATTCATGAAAGGAAGTGTTTGAGACAATTAAGTAGTCCATCATTTTGACTTTGGAGCTAAACTGTACCTTAGAGAACCAAGAAAGCCCTAGTTATGAACCACATTTCATAATAATTATAATACTAAAACTCACAGTGGAGGGTTAAGTGAAAGATAATTGTATTGGAACTAGGATTTGAGTCTTTGAAATAACTGTGTGACCATAAGCAAGTCACTTGATTTCACAAGCCTCAGTTTCTTTTGGTTTAAAACGATAATAATAATTTTTCTGCCTTTGAGTAGCTGTAAAGGCGGGCATGTATAAACTTTTCATAAGAGGCAAAATATTACTTCATTTTTTAAAGTGATTATCATTATTACTTTCACCCCCTTCCTCCAAGGAGACATTGAGTTTCTTTGCTCTGTCTCATCTCTAAATATACACTTTGAACATATTTCCTTCCTCTTTGGGATTTATGCTGAGTCAGTGTGATACTCCTGGGGCTGCTTGGACTTCCTTCGTAACAGTTACTTTTTATTTCTTAACAATTTTTATAAGAATGAAAGAAATTCCTTCACCCAATCAATCACTCTTTATCTACTGCCAAACCAACCACAGTAGGACTTCTTTACCTCTCGGAATTTTTTATATTCACTTACTGCAGCTCCATAAGAGTTGTGAAGAAGGAAACCATGAGTTTAGGACATGTTTGAAAGCAAAGGATTTAGAGCAAAACAAAGATAGCACAAACTATCCTGCCGTGGAAGGCATGGAACAAAGCAAGGCCCTTCTGTACCTCCCCAGTCAAAAAAATAATAATAACAAAGGTCAAAATAGGTAAATGAATGTGAAAAGGAAAGATAGAGGATATTAGAAGGGTAACTGGATAACTCACACAGATATGGAAGGAAAGCAATGGGGATAATTCCAAGATAACCATAGAGCAGTGTGATCTCCCCGCCCCCTGCCACATCTCTTCTGTCAGAACTTTGCATGGAGCTCAGCAACCTGTGTATTAACAAGCCCCAGTTCATTCTGAAGTAGAGAACTGCTGCTTAGAGAGCTGAGCCAAGGTAATTAGAGGAGAATGGCATCAGTTTGCTTTTCCTATATAACATAGTTCTTCTAAAATTCCACTAACAAGAATCCATATGTTTTGAAAAAAGTAAACCAGAGTTATGGACAAACACATGATGTTGTAGTGAATAAATAATATTACAGAAGTTATTCCTCAACTATGAGCAGTGAGCTCAGTCTTCCAAATTATATAGGTACCATGACAAATGCACCCCTTCTTGTACTGAGCAATCCAGTGCTGACTTGTGTTACCACATGTGGTCATCTTCACACCTTCCTATTAGAATGTAAAGTCTGAAAGAGCAGAAACACCCATAAAAATGCATATCATTCATCAATATACACAACATATACTGCTTTGCAAATAGTGAACATCCAATCGTATTTAATCAATGGCTGAACCAATTCCTTCCACAATGATGTCTAACCACTTCCCAAAGGATGACTTATTTATTTTGTGTTGTAGCTCCACAGATATATTAAATATTTTCTTCAAAGATCTCACTGTGTTACAGATACCATGTTCTATTACTTTGCTCTATATAACAAAATACCACATATAATAATTGAAATGACCAGGATGGCTGTGAGCTGTTTATTAACCTCCAAGCATAGGGTTACCAGATTTAGCAAACAAAAAGGTGAAACAGCCATTTAAATATTAAATTTTATTTTCAGATGAATGACAAGTATATTTTTACAATATGTTCTTTGCAAAATGTGTGACATACCTATACTAAAAAAATATTTAGTATTTATCTGAAGTTCAAATTTAAGAAGGTGTCATATATTTTATCTGGCAACCCCTTCCAGGTGAAACTATCTTTTAAAATCCAAACTTAGGATTCTTGCCTTAAAATTCTATAAATGAATATGGGCTAACATATGTACTTGCTTAGCAAATGTTTGTTGAGTGAATATGTAAATGAATGTTTAAAAATGTAGGCATGCTTTCCAGGAGAACTTAATTCAAGGAATTTATACATAAATGCATTCTTTTCTCAGCAAGACTTTTAGATTTCTTTCTTTCTCTTTTTTTAACTAACTAGAGAATATATTGTACAGATTTCTATATTTTCACTTGTATTTTTTTTCACCAACAAAAGGTAGATGCATTGGCTGTTTTCCAAATCATGATATC